AAAAAAGAAAAGAAAAAGAAAGGCGAACTAAAACAACATCAAAACACCATTTTCTCCTCTCAGACAAGCAGGAGGAAACAGTCTCATATACTTCACAAGAGAAGAGAAACAGGTGAAATCTTTCTGCAGGGCAATTTGGCAACAGCCATCAAAACTTAAAGCATCAGTAGCCTTCGACCCAGGAAGCACTCATAATTTACCCCCTGGAAGTACCTGCACAAGCCCATTATAGTATCTGTTCAAGGATATGGCAGCAGTGTTTTTAATAACAAAAAGTAAAATAATCCAAATGTCTATCAATAAGGGCTTAATAAATAAATTATAGTACAGCCACATAAGGCAGTAACACACAGCCATTAGAAAAGGAAGACGTGCCCGTAAGACTGCCAAGATGCATCATTAGGTGAAAAAGCAAGGTACAGAGATGTATACAAAGCAAGACCCCTGTGTAAAACATGACAGGACTAGAGGTTGGGGAATAATTAAGGAACTCGTAACTTTTTATTTTACGTATTTTTGCTGTTTGAATTTTAGCTATGATTTTTTTTTTTAAATTAAGTATTTAAGATATACGTTGGCAATTATTTACCAAGAATTCACCAAAGAAAGTGAATCTACAGGCCTCCAAATATTTCCACCCAACAATAGGGATGAGGGTGTCAAGGACAACTGTAATCAACAATAGAAAGCAGCAGCATGTTTGTCCAACACCTCGAGATATCTAAACTCATAACATACGAGACATGGTGCCAGTCAATCAGGCACCCATTTTACAAGTCTCTGTGTGCAGTAGGACACAAACCATGTAATGCCCATTGCCTGGCCCGGGAAACCAGAACAGAGTTCTGGATTCACTACCAACTAGTCACGTGACTGCAGGCAAATCCTCTGGCCAGCCATTGTGGGCCTCAGGTTCCCTGTCTGTAGGAGAACACATGTGTAGGGCAGAGGGAGACAACTAGATGATTCTGGAACTGCTTGATTCTAACCTTACAAACATGGCACCCTTTGCATAACCATTTTAAAAAATGCAGAAACTCACTGCTAATGGGAAAGTAGTGAAGACGCTGAAGCTGCTCTTATGTTATCTGTCCAGGATCTCAATGGAAATACATAAAATATTACGAGTCGATATACAAGAGAAACACCTTAGCTGACCTACTACAAGCTGGAAAGAAAGAACTCAACAGTGGTGTCTACTAATATCAAAGCAAAAGAATGGAGTTCATGTTGTTAAAGTCATTAAAATGAAAGGTTTTATTTTTCAATTACATATAGTTATGAAATTCCTCCATCAGCTATTTGACTGTAGTTTTGTCCTTTGGAGCCAACCAGTACTGTTACACTGCCTGGGAAGACCTGCAGTGGGGACGTGACAGTAGCACTCACTTTTGGAAACATTTTGTGGACCAATTTTCAGGCCAGTGGGAAAACCAAGCTTTTGGCGATTCAAACTTAACAACATAATGGAGGTCAGGAGTGCGGCAGGTGTGAGTACAGGTTGTCACAGCCATTGGAATTATGATGTCTGTTAGCGATACACTGTTGAGATTTCATTACTTGGTAAAACTAGTTTTAAATGAGCCTGACCTCAGTTCTATAAACCCACAGTGGCTCACACCCAGAAGGAGCTCTATCAGTCCCTGAGAGACAACACGTTACCGCCCCACTGTACATTACTCCCCCACCGTACGTTACCTTGCCAGGGAAAGGCAGACACTGCCTTTTGTTTTTCTGTTTCTGTATTTGTCAGCACGTGATCTACATCTATCCCCTTTCACTTTGGACTAAGTAGAGGTGCAGGAAAAAGTAGGCCAAATATATTTAATATTTAACACCAAAACAAGTTATTTGCTTAAGATGGCTTGGCCAGCCTCATGTCTGGCACTAAAACCCAGCCTGACAGTTCCAGTCGGAATTAAACACCAGTTTTAATGGGTGCTGTGTTCCAATGCCTACTAATGCACTGAGGATTTTTGGCCAACTTCTTCACATAAAGGCAGGAGCGTGTGTGTGTGTGTGTGTGTGTGTGTCTGTGTCTGAACCTGTGTGTGTGCCCACGTGTATATATGGAGGGATTACAGGGGGGAGCCGGCCACAGCTGCTTAATTTTTGTAAAGCTTTTTTTTTTTCCTTAATAGGGAGGAGGGTTGCGGTTCCTTACCGTCCTCGTAAGCCGCCACCGCCAGAGAGCTGTTTATCCTCACAAAGGAGACATATGGCTGCAGCCCAGCCTCGTCGTCCTCATACTCCGATTCCAGGAAGGGGGCTGTGTAGTCCCAGGTGCGGGTGTCCCACACCCTCACGTCCCCTGATGTATATCTGGAAAACAAGGACACATTTGGTTCCAAAAAGGGCTTGGACAGCAAGGCCGTGGTGGGGAAAACGGAGACAGCACAGGAGTGAGACGTAGTCAGTAGGAAGCCCCTCCTGCCACGTGGATTAGAAGAGGTACCAAGAGGAGACAACGTCAACTAGGGACAGAAGGTGGGGAACTTGCTTCGTGTCTGTGCAGCACGACGGTAGCAACTTCAAATGAGAAAGCTGTAACAAATTGGGAATCAAAATCGTCTTGTTTTTTTCCTATCACACTTTTACAACCAATCTGCAACCTTAAGTTCCCACTAAAAGGATCATTGGCAGAAATTTGTCTAAGTGGCAGTATTTATACCGAGAGACACAAACCTGAGAGAGAGAGGGAGAGAGACAGACAGACAGAGAAATGCTTCAGAGATACTAAGAACTAATGGTCTTAACAGGCACAAGCTTTCTAATACCTCATCCATGCATCAGATTTGACTGATTAAAGTCCCTAAAGACTAATTGATTTGCTAGAAACAATTAAATCTTGCCTTTAGCAGCCAGACAATGCTGCCTCCTCCTGTAAAGCTCTTGCTGAAATGCACGACCCTCCTGGTCTGCCCACTTAGAAAACTGGCGCACACCCTCTCTTCTATTTCTCCCGCCACCACTCCCGCAAATGACTCTCTCCATCAAAGCCCGGCAGGCCAGCCCCACTCCAACGCGAGGCCCCAAGGATAACAGGAGGGCAGATGACCAGGTGCTGCGCTGCCCGCCACTGAGGTATTTCAGCTAAGGTCCTTGACCGCTACAGAAGGCTCTATTCGACACTAATGCAACTCTGGGGAGGAGTATTAGAGATGCTGGAAGAGCCCGTGATGTGTCCACACCAAGACAGGCCGACGATTTCCAGGGGGTTCACAATCCTTCTGAGGCCCTACCTGCACAGCCCTCAGGGTTCCTCTGACCCCATGTTAAAAGAGGCAAACAAGATAATCTCTGAGCTTCATTTCATCACTAAAACCTAGGGCATGATGCATTAAATGAAGTGGCTACAGAAGGTCAATTTCTCATGGAAAATGTCTTAAGAAAGAAACTAAGCATTCTGATGACTCAGGAGAGCTGTGCTTACAAAATGCAGGAGTAGTTCCCTGAAGTTGTTCATCTACGGTAACTAAACGTTATGCTGTTCAAAGGTCCTTCTGTCACACCAGTTCCCTGGCTGCAGAATCAGTGCTCCAGCTGCAGGACAGAGCGGGGGAGGGTATGTGTAGTAACCAGAGCCGAATAGGACACATGCGCCTTCCAGACCTGGGCTCATGGGCCTCTGTGTGACCAGAGACCCTCCAGTACATCAAAATGCTCATGACATGAGCGTCAGGAAGACGGTGATGATGTCCAAGTAAGGGCAGTTATTGACACCACCCCAGCCGAGGCAGCGCTGGCTCCAGGCTCTCCAGGCAACAGTCCAGATCCCACTTCTTCACTGGGAACCTTGCACAAAGCACAGATGCCCTGCCCCACAACTCCCAGCGTCAACCTGAACTACTGCAGGAAGGCTACTCGCTTCGCTCAGAGACGTGAAGAGAGGCAACATGGTTGCCTTCTGAAGAGTACGAGATTAAGTCCTCTGGGTTGAATTCTACATAAAAGGAAATAGCCAGTCCAGAAAATAAAGATGACAGTAGCAATGTCTCTCAGATACATAGAGAAGGAGACGGGAAGGAAGAAAGAGGGAATGGAGGAGATCAGAGAACACAGCGACTCCGAGAAGAGTATGTCACAAGCCAGGGAAGTATAACTATTTTCCGTCAGTCTTGGTCATTCTATTTTTCATTAGCTGTATACTGAACCACAAGGAGCCTTGGTGGCACAGTAATTAAGTGATTGGCCATTTCAACTCACCAGCCACAACATGTGGCAGTTGGCTTCCATAAAGATTCCAGCCTAGGCAAACGTGGGGGGCAGTTCCACTCTGCCGTTAGGGTCACTATGAATTGACTTGATGGCAGAGGGTATCCTGGACCACAGCAGAAGTCTCCATGCTGTTCTTTGTGGCACCCCCGTAGGGGCCCCGGGAGGGAGTAAAGGGATACGGAACGTGAGTGGACTGTGCTCCAGTTCCCCACCTCACCTTTACACAGAGGTCTGAGGCAAAGCAACGACAAGGAAGATGCGCTTTAACTGCTGAACCACACACGCTTCCAATGTAAAACACAAATTTCTGATATCTCTTATTACCAGAGGTGGAGGGAGGGCAGGGATCCCTTGAGTCACGGCACTTGAAAACAAACAAACAAACTAACTCACTGCCAATGAGTCGATTCCAACTCATAGTGACCTCCCACAGGGTTTCCAAGGTAAATCATTACAGAAGTAGACTGCCCCATCTTCCTTCCATGGAGCGGCTGGTGGGTTTAAACAGCTGACCTTCTGGTTAGCAGTCAAACGTCTTAAGCACTGCACCACCACAGCTCCTACCAGCACTCTACCTAGTCTCTAAAAGGTTCCAAACAAAGCCTTTTCTTTCATAACGGAAGGAGTCTCACTGCAACTCCACACATCTAAGATTTAACACACGCTCTCCTCTAAAAGGTAGCCAGTTTCTGAATTCCGTATTTTTTCGGTAGTAGTAGCTTCACGAGCACCAGGGGCTTTTGGACACAGCTTTAAGGAGCAGCCCAGAAGCGGAGCCAGGCACCAGGTGTAGAGCTGGGCACTGGGGGCTTTTGGAAGTGGCTTTAAGGGGCGGTCCGGAAGGGGAGCCAGGCATAGGTTTTGGAGGGGCTTTAAGGGAGGCCAGGAAGGAGCTCTGATAACGTAGTGCCTGAGGCACTTGACTGCTAACCAGAAGGCTGTTGGTTCAAACCCACCAGCCACTCCTAGAAAGGAAGGTTGGGCAATCTACTTCCTTAGTGATACTGCCTCGGAAACCCAAGGAGGAGTCGCTATGAGTCGGGTCCGACTCAATGGCAAATTAACAACAACAACACAATAGGAAGTGAGCAGAGCAGTTTAGAACAACTAAGGAGATGAACTTGTCTGTCAGTTTGTCATCCTGGGGTGGCCTGCATGTTGGTATGAGGCTGGAGGCTATGCCACTGGTGTTGCAAATACCATCAGGGTCACCCATGGTGGACAGGTTTCAGCAGAACTTCCAGACTAAGACAGACTCGGAAGAAGTAAGAGGCCATCCACTTCTCAAAGAATTGGACGATGAAAACCTTATGAACAGCAGTGAAACAATGTCTGATATATTACTAGAAAACTTTACAAATAGCCCTGAAACACTGTTTATATATAGTGCGGGAAGATGAGCCTGTCAAGTCAGAAGGCACTCAAAATATGACTGCGGTAGAGTTGCCTACACAGAGCACAGTCAACCTTAATGATATGGATCGAGCAAAGCTCTCGGGACCACCACTGGCTGATGTGGCATGACTCAAAATGAGAAGAAACAACTGCAAACATCCATTAATAATCAGAACGTGGAATGCACAAAATATGAATCTAGGAAAACTGGAAGTTGTCAAAAATTAAATGGAACTTAAGAAAGATCGATAACCTAGGCATGAATGAGCTGAAATGGACTGGTTTTGGCTATTTTGAATCAGAAACCATATAATCTACTACACCGGGAATGACAAATTGAAGAGGAATGGTGTGGCATTCATCGTCACAAAGAATGTTTCAAGATCTGTCCTGAAGTACAGTGCTGTCAGTGATAGGATAATATCCATATGCCTACAAGGAAGACCAGTTAATACCACTATTACTCAAATGTACACACCAACCACCAAAGCCAAAGAGGAGGAAATTGAAGATTTTTACCAACTTCTGCAGTCTGAAATTGACCAAACACGCAATCAAGATGTGTTGATTATCACTGATGATTGGAATGCAAAAGGTGGAAATGAAGAATCACTGGTAGTTGGAAAATAGGGCCTTGGAGATAGAAATAACGCTGGAGGTCTCATGACAGAATTTTTCAAGACCAACGACTTATTTATTGCAAATACCTTTTTTCAACAACACAAATGGCAGCTATACATGTGCACTTCACCAGATGGAGTACACAGGAATCAGATTGACTATCTGCGGTAAGAGGCAATGGAAAGCTCAGTATCTTCAGCCAAAACAAGGCCAGGAGGTGATTGTGGAACAGACCATTAGCTGTTCATACACAAGGTCAAGTTGAAGACAATTAAAGTCCATGACCTTCATTATGGACTGAATTTAGAGATCATCTAAAGAACAGATTTGATGCACTGAAGACCACTGATAGAAAACCAGAAGAACTGTGGGATGACATCAAGAACATCATCCACGAAGAGAGCAAGAGGTCATTAAAAAGACAAGAAAGAAATAAAAGATCAAAATGGATATCAGAGGAGACTCTGAAATTTGCCCTTGAGCGGAGAGTAGCTGCGGTGTAGTAAATTACTTAGTGTGGCTTTTCTACCCATAAGTCTTTGTAAACTC